TTAACTAAGGGGTAGATAGCAGGCACATTACTACATTAATTAAAAATCAAAGCATTATAGAAGGCTTAGCTAATATAAGCAGGTAGGTACTCCTGGTAAACAAGAAAACATAGCATTTCCTATATGTCTGAAATGCTACCATCTGCTTTTATTTGGAATGATAATATTTTTCTACAGGTAGGTGAAAATGTGTTTGCGCTAATAACAATGTCAGAATCTATAAATCTTGCCCGCGTTTATCACAAACCACCAGGACTGTAAGACATTGATCCAACGTGTAGCAAAACAAGCCAATCATAACATAGTTTTAAATCACGTGATACAAGTAAAAAATTTAACACGTAAACACTGAATCCATAGATTGAGGTCCTTTGGAAAAGTATCAACAGGGTCATAACGTATTGACCCAATGTGTTGAGTTAACACATTATTACACTGTTGTCTGGTGGTATACAGGACCATAACACATTGACCCAATGTCTTAGGTCAATACATTATGTTGCTGTTGTCTGGTGGTATACAGGACCATAACGTATTGACCCAATGTGCTGAGCTAACACATTATTACACTGTTTTCTGGTGGTATACTGGACCGTAACACATTGACTCAACACGTTGAGTTACCACGTTATAACACCGTTGGCTATCGATCACATACGATTACTCAATATGGTGTAATATGTGGATATATCACTATTGAATGATATATAAACAGATCGGTAATTTGACAATGCTTGATTTTATTATAATACTCAAACACTTGTTACAGATTCACGTAGTCTATGAAGCCCTCACCTTACTCAGACTGTTTAATGACCCTCACACCAGTTAGATGAATTAGAGAAAACGCCACCCTCATTCGAACGAGAAGTTGACTGACTGAAAATGAACCCACGCCCTGAATTATCTATAGAAGTAGAGCACGTTTGGCGCTGTGTTGTTAGACTCTGGAAAAAAATCATTCACTTCATATGCAAGACAACAGTGATAAACTAACCTCTTCTCAAATGTTTATAATTTGTTATATGTTCTCCCAGGTGGAGCTCTTTCGGTATTTACGCGGTACTCAGACCTTCACAAACGGCAAAAATCGACAACTCGAACGCAAACTTGCTGTAACAAAAACTCATGATTACGTTCTTTTTTTCGGAGTAATAAAGAAGATTCTCGAATGTTTCAAAATGACAAAAATGGAATCTGGTACGAAAATTTGTGTGTAACATTCACGAATACGTCTTTGTCGCAGTGACCAATAAGACCTCGAGTCTTATAAAGATATTGACAAGATATGCACGCTGGAATACGTCATTAGTTTTCACCTGTCAATTTATATTATTTTTAAAATGACTGGGACAAAAAATGGCTGCAAATGCAATGAATAAGCATTTTTTAAGAACTTATGATTGAAAGTAAAGAAGAACGTATAACAACTTGCCATCCACACTTATATTTGCCCCTCCCCCCTGGGGTTCAGGGGTAAGTCTGAAGGCTTGTAACGCTAAAAAACAAGTTTCGAAACACTATATCTGTTTTTTTTTGTTGTTAAGCACAAAGCTACACAGTGGGCTATTTATGCTGTGCCCATCACTGGTATCGAAACCTGGTTTTTAGTGTTATAAGCCACCGGTAAGTGCTCATGCAAATTTTATTTGTTCGTTGAATTTTGAAGTGATAAACTAGAGGGAAGGCAACCAGTGAAGACCTAACCACCGCCAACAAATAATGGGATTGATCATCACTCTATAATACCCTCCAAGGCAGAAAGGAAGATATGGGATCGGTGATTGGATTCGAACCCGCGACTAGCAGATTACGAATCGAAAACCCTAATCACCAGGCCACGCCAGTCCTCGTGCGTATACGTCTTTGTTACCGTGACAGAATAAAGTAACAGGAATTACTTTAAGTGGCGGCCCGGCATGGCCAGGTGGTTAGGACGCTCGACTCGCAATCTGCGGGTCGCGGGTTCAAATCCCCGTCACACGAAAGATGCTCGCCCTTTCAGCCGTGGGGGCGATATAATGTGACGGTCAATCCCGTTATTCGTTGGTAAAAGAGTAGCCCAAGAGTTGGCGGTGGGTGGTGATGACTAGCTGCTTTCCCTCTAGTCTTACACTGCTAAATTAGGGACGGCTAGCGCAGATAACCCTCATGTAGCTTTGCGCGAAAATTAAAAAAAAAAACTTTAAATGGTGTTATGGCTGAAAAACGTTTGTAAGCCTTACTTTAGAAATATATTTTAACCTACACCACATAATGATAAATAATTATTAATAAAAGCTACTTAAAGTTAATCATCGCAGAGAAATCAATTATAAAAAACAATGACTTTATGGAATGTTAAACGTAGATGGCGAAATTAACTAACGTTAGTCTGTTTGTTTGTAATTAAGCACAAAGCTACACATTGGCCTATCTACTCTGTCGACCGCTGGGAACTGAGCCCCGAATTCCAGCATTGTAATTAAAAGAATGAATTGCTCAATACTTTGAAATCATAGTGAATTAATTATTTATTAAATCTTTCTACTCCCTTTACATCTGCGGACTTACAACGCTAGAAACCGGGTTTCGATACCCATGGTGGGCAGGGCACAGATACCCCATTGTGCTTTTATTCAATATCAAGGCAAGCGATTTGGATTTAAAATTACGAAGTAATTATGTGGACAGACAACAGACTGTACTATTATATTCATTTAGATACCCTTCTCACTTGCAGATCTTTTAATTTCGAACGAATTTAAATAATTATATATTTCTTTGATGATCTAAAATAAAACTTCGGCCTTATGACATTTCTTATAGATCTCCGCGAGCAATAAACCGCGGGAAGTATTTTATAAAACGTTTTAAAGCACATACTTTCACAACCTAAAAATTAATGGATTGAGGCAACGATGTTCTTCAACTGTTTAATTAAAACTAGCTTTTATTGTAAAAAAATAATATATATATATATATTAAAAATAAAGTAATCGCGAAGAGGTGAAACCGAAAAATAAGATAAAACTTCTAATCTCAAAATGGAGATCAAATTATTAACTGAATGCCTCAATATATTTTAATCATGTTTTATGCTTTTATTTTCTATTTCTCTACTTTTCGTTAGCCCCCCAATTGATACGACTTGTCTTCCGATGGTTCAGTAGCTGCCTCAAAGGCTTTTAATGAGGCTAGATTCGTCACGGTGGGCATAGTGCAGATAGTCCATTCTGTAGCTTTGCGCCTAACAACAAGCAAAACAAAAATTTAAGACATTCAAATTTTCTTATCAGTAAAAAAAAAAAAGAAAGAGAGAGAGAGAGAAACTACACCCCGACGTTTATTTAACAACATTAAAATTGTTACATAAGTTTAACGCCGCCCCCCCCTAGTGGCACAGCGGTATGTCTGCGGACTTATAACGCTAGAGTCCGGGTTTCGATACCCGTGGTGGGCAGAGCACAGATACCCCATTGTGTAGCTTTGTGATTAATATCAAACTAAAATAACTAATTAACTCTCTTTGCAATACTTTTTTTTCAAACATCTTTCTTTTGTTTTTTGTTTGTAATTAAACACAAAGCTACACAATGGGCTATCTGTGCTCTGCCCACCATGGGTATCGAAACCCGGATTCTAGCGTTGTAAGTCCGCAGACATGCCGTTGTGCTACTGGGAGGCCATCTTTGTTTGAATTATAAGTAACCATCTCTTTCGTAATTATTAAAATCTGCAGGGCCGTGCGCAGGAATCTCAATCTGACCACTACTAATGTACTATATACACATAGAAACCATATTAACATACATCACATGCATAGAACTAGCTTTCATTGCGATAATCAAATTATTGGGAGGAAGGGAGGGGAGGTACTTTGTGGACCCTCCTGAAAATTTGGATTTAAATCAAAATAAAACAAATGATTTATCGCTTAAAACAAAATATTCCACATATAACTTCCCAGGCACAGCAAAGTCCAGTTAGTATTAGTTAATACCTTACATTATATAATAGAAAAACCGTATTTTGGATTCAGTTAGATATGCATCGTCCCTGAGAGTAGTTTTATTAATAAAAACATGCCAATTAATACCCTAGAAACCGGGTTTCGATACCCGTGGTGGGCAGAGCACAGATAGCCCATTGTGTAGCTTTGTGCATAATTAAAAACAAACAAACAAAAACAAACCAATTAATACCCAAATCATATAATAACAGATAAAATATCAACAGGACAAATCAAAGTTAACATAAAAAGGATCATTACTCAAAACGATAGAAATGGGAAATATTACATATAAAATGAAACACTTCAAATCTAAACGAAAATATGCGAACAATAATATGCATTACTTCGCCGCTAGAATTGTTTAACAAGAGCGAAGTTCCACACGTTATGCAGTTGTTACCAGTATAACAAAGAAATGTGTATAAATGATAAGACAGTAATTAATATAAGGGCTGATTTGACATTATATCAACACTTTATACTTATTTTACTGTAAATTTATTTATACTTTTGTTCTTACATGCATTCAAAGCAAATGTAGGGTATCTTTTATTGAAAATAGAGTTGGAAAAGGGGAAAGTTAAAGTTTTAATTTAAGAAAAAGGCAATAAAACAATTAATTACAATAAAATCTAATAAACAGATTCAACGATTTACTTTCTGTTAGTCTTCCTTACAATTCATTTTACGTTTTTTATTTTCAAGATTTTTTAAGTATATGTTTATATTTATGCTGCAATAGATATTTTATCTTTTTTACTAGTACGTTTTTAAAACCTAAATTTATTTTCTACAAATATGGGGATGTACTAAGTTTATTTCTTATTTTTATGAATAAAACTTATTCTCATTATATTCATAATTAACAATAAAACATATTAAAATATTTAGAAGCCATTGATAATCTAAATATATATTACGACATATAAACCATCGTTTCTTAGTTTTCTATTATTCTATCGTAATCCAATAGGTGGCGAAGTTTATCTTTTGCTCTGTTTTTGTAACAGTTGTTTTAAGTGTAGTTTGAGATTAAGAAGAATTAATACTGAAACCTAAAGATTGGAAGTGTGTTTATTAAGTTACAAGACACTTGTCAAACGTAATCCTTTGTTGACAACACATTGGGATTGTTAAGCTCTTTCTGGAATTACATAGGAAGTTGGTAAGTTACGTTTCCAACATCAGATTTTGTTTACAGTTTAGTTTACTCTAAACGTAGAAGTAGTACTAGTAGAATAACAAGTTTTAATTTAGTCTTTATTATAAATTACACTTACAGTGAGTAATACTAATAGTAATACTATTACTACTAGTACTACGCTTCTGTGCTATATTCTATACTCCAAATACCAAGTTAGGTGCTGTTTTTTTCGTAATTTTACAATGTGATCTAAATTATGGTAATCCAAATTCATTGTACAAAATTAAAGGTCCATGTACCAACTAACCGAGTGATTCATGTTATGTTTAAAAAACTGAACGTTTTCAAATTCATTAGAGGTAGGATTAAAAATACCCAGAAGTTTAATGTCAAAAGCAAACTTTTATAATTTACTAGTTATGCCTCTTTAATTAAACGTTGTTGGTGTGAATAAGAAAAAAAGCAAAGGTCCATGCACTAATCCCTGAGGCACTTCATTAGTACTAGTAGTTACAAGTGACCTGTTTGATTAGATACCTTTTTTTCCCCCACCCATCCAGTTAACTAGTTCTTCCTCAAACCCTACCAAGTTGATTTTTGTAAATAATCTTGTTGTGTGTCATTTTGTCAAAAGTTTTTTTGAAAATTTCAGTACATTAATCTATGCCTTTTCTATCACTCATATAACAATTAACATTCCCTTAAAAAGATAACTGATTAGTATGGTACAGTTTCACTTTGGTTAATCCAAGTTTCCTATCTATTCTAAAGTCGTATTTCACCAAATGGTTTTGTAAAGCTTTTTTATGAGACTATAATTTTCCCTGCTAAAGAAATAAAGCTAACTGGCCTGTAATTTCCAAGTTAACTCTTTAACCTTTTCTTTTTTTAAGGTTGGCGGTCCTGATGTTTCACACTCGTAGATTTCTCTGTTTTCTTGCAAAACAACATTTTTATACACCTATAATATTTACATTTTTCTTTCTTCTATATTGGACAAAAGCTGGGCAGAGCGTAATGTTTAATTGTACCAGAATGTCAATTCAATGACCCATGGTTCATGTCTCACTGCACAAAACTTCTCCCCAAACTTTGATGCTGTAGAGGTTTTGAAAGAGTGACAGTTAAATTCCACTATTTGATAAATGTAGGGCAAGAGTTGATGGTGGTAGTGCTGTTGAATAAGTGGCCTCTCTCTAGTCCATCAGTTCAAAACTAGACTCTTTATAGATGGCCCTTGTGTGGCTTTGTACAAATATCCAAAAGAAGCAAACAAGCCATTATACCTAAAGTAAAAGTGAAGAATCTGTTCTTTATCTTCAAGAAAATATTCTTAAAAAAAAATTATGACATATTTCTACACTAAATTTATACCAAATGTCCACATCAGCATGATTCACGTACTCCACACTTTCCTGGATATCAAATATGATCTCCATGAAAACAAATCGTCATTGCAATTTTCTTAGGTTTAAAAACTGCTCTTTTTTTTTTTTTGTAACCTTTCTGTTTACTTATATAGATAATAAGATCATTTTCTCCGTTACTAAGGGTCTGGCACGGCCAGGTGGTCAGGGGGCTTGACTCGCAATCTGAGTGTCACGGGTTCGATTCCCCATCCCACCAAACATACTCTCCTTTTCAGCCATGGGGGTGTTATAATGTGATGTTCAATCCCACTATTTGTTGGTAAAAGAGTAACCCAAGAGTTGGCAGTGGGTGGTGATGACTAGCTGCCTTCTCTCTAGTCTTTCACTGCTAAATTAGGGACAGCTAACACAGATAGCCCTCATGTAGCTTTGTGTCAAATTCAAACCAAACCATCACTAAGACTTATTGTGTTACCACTTTTATCATTATCTTAATTTTCATATTTCTTTGGAATAATCTTTTCAAAGGAATGACTAAGTTTGGTAAGAATATTCTGATTTTTTATTCTTTTTTAGCACATTCCTAAAACTAGATGAATTCTTATAATTCATTCTTTCATTCCTTTTATTTCATCATCTATGACCTGCCTGTGGCTCATTCGTAAGTCTGAAGACTTATAAGGCTAAAAACCAGGTTTTGATGCACATGGTGAGCACAGTATAGATAACCCGTTTTGTAGCTTTGCGCTTAACAACAAACAAACAAATCATCATTTGTGAGTCCTGGTAATGTTCATTATTTCAAAATTACTAACAGCAACCAAAGCTTCCATTTTAAGCATCTAGCACTAGTTCCCAACCACCAGTTCAGAGGAAGATTTCAGGTGATCTGCTGGACAGTTGTTTTACAATGTAACTTAAAGTTATTTTAAGAAGTTCATATTGTATGAAATGATCTATGAAGCTTTTGAAATCTGAACTAGCTAATCCTCAGTTGGGAGTCACTGATAGAGAGACTGAAGAAGATTAAAGTTTACTGGTAGAATTTGTTGCGGACCAGGTTTCTTTTTTATATTCTTTAGATGAAGCCCCAGTTTCAATCCATTCTGACCTAAAAAATAAACAAATAGAAAAGATATTTTACCAAATATGTGATCAGGAGTACTACATACAAACTGTAACTCATTCTAAAAGAAATTGATAAACCTACCTCTACTGTTCTTTCAGAGTGGATTGTTTAATGGTTATTCACTAAATAGGAAGTGATATTTACTGCAGAAATGCAGCATTTGAATGGACTTAGCAAGTTTGTAAGGAAGAAGACTTCATCTGTATTTCAACGGTAAGTAATTTTCTTTTCTTTTTTTTTTTAAGATTCTAACTTATCACTTAGAACTGCTTAGTTTCAGTATCGAAAAAGGTATTTCAATGCTTACGTTTGTACTGTGTTTTTCGTAATTTTGACTTTGTTTCTATTATATATTGTGAGCAAGAAAAAGAGGCTTGTTTATACCAGCAGTCTCGAAAGTGAAAAAACAAGTTACTGTTTATTTGATGTCGAGTATAAATGAAGTATAACATTTGTGATGAAAGCTTAAAATTTGTCTTGAAAAAAAAAGATGTTTGTAAAAAAATTATAAACTTAAATTTTTATCTAATTTGTAGTAATGTTCAGTTTTTAGTATAATTAGACTGGGTTTCCATTCCCCTTCAATTAAATAATCATATTTTTATTATGTATGCAGAATGTAGAAAATAAATTAGGTCTGTGCAAAAACATTGTGACATATGGAGAATAAAAGTAGCTTAAAAAAGTTGTCCGTACATAATTTATAAAGTTTTTCACTATAAAACTTTTTGTGCCACACAAACACCAACTTGCTTTAAAAAAAACAAACATGAATTATGAACTTGTTCGTGATATTTAAAATGGCAGAGTGAATTGTAATCTAAAATTTCATATCACTTTAAATTAGAAAAATACGTGGTTTACAATATGTAAATTTTGTTTTTCCAATCTTTAGGTCTGAAGCATGTTTGGTCAACAAAGATAATCACGTTTTGCTACCTGAAATCCAACCAAAACAAGTGTCTTGTTTGTGTTTGGCAGATCATTCAACATTTTTATATAGTGAATCTGATGGGGTAAGATGTCGAGAGTAAAGTACAACCATCAGTATGATTCTGTGTCTCTAGTAAAAGATAGGTATTATTAAAGAGCCTTAAATGTCCTGCCACATCACAAAACAGCAAAACGCGATCGAAGCATAACTTAAGTTATTGTATGTAACCTTGAACATTATAAGTTCAATAGACAATGGCGAAAAGTTATTTGTACATATTACATTAATGGTAATGTGTTTCAACACAGTATGTGTAAAGAAAAAAAATCACGTATTACCTCATTTGGAATGGTCCACCCTAAAGTATCGATTTAACTTGCAGCGAATTACACGCATGTAAAAGTTGCTTTATTGCATGCTTCATCTTTATACTCCATCAAAAATTTTGTCTAACAAATCTTATAAGGCACAGAACATGATTATTTGGTGTGAAAAGTATGAAACACAGCATACTGACCTGGATTGGTGCTCTTTTTGACCCCCCCCTCTCCACACACATACACACACAAGAAGTACATATTTGGATTTTGCTTGATGCAGAAGACTGTACGACAGCTCAGAAGTAATTAAAAATCTAAATGGCATAAAGGTCCACTTACATTAATGGCTGCCATCTGGTGAAAAGAAAAGTATCGCAAACAGTTTTGAAAAAGGTGCAATTTTTTTTCTAATCCAGCTTGTAGTAGTAGCAGCATGGTACAACAGAGCACTTTTTTCTGCCTATCAGAAAACCAGGAACACTAACGGCTTGAAACCTTAAGTGGTGGAATGCCCTTCCATCCCAGTTTAATCCCTGATAAGCGGTCACTGTGTTTTTTTCAATTTTCATCTAAGTCTGATATGTGCAGTTTAATGTGTTTTTGACACCCATTTTTTTGTCTAATCTCAGGAAACATAAAGTTTGTTCTGCATGTAAATCTCATAATTACAAAAGCCAAATCATTTTCTCAGAATGGCAGACATCCATTTGTATAAACCTGATAAAATAATTTCTGATTTATTTCTAAAGAAGAAAAAAAGATGTTATAAACACTTAAGTACTTGACAATGTGTTTTACATGACCAGCTAAATACTGCCTATATATGGCTATCACTTTTGAAAGGTGGATCTTTCTTCTTCAGGGTGGTGAACTGTTTTAGAAAAAGTGGGACTTGAGTTGAGCTTCAGGAGTACACAACTTAACCACCACTGTATTGTATCATTAGCCGTCTCTCTGCTGTTTGTTGGGAGGGGAGGTCAAGTTTTGACCTCTGGTCAGTGTATACTACCTTTCACCAGTTTCTAGTTGTTACAGTGGTTAGCCTTGGGCTAAGAACACAATACATGCACTCTCATGTAGTGTGAAAGTATGTTGAGGAATTAAAAGTAGAGAACAAAGGATGATTGCTGGCTTGAGTAATAAAACTCTTTTTTTTTGGCAAACCTACATTTTGGTAATACATACAAACTTTGTTTTTACCTCTTAAACATTGCTTAATGTAATTTCTGGCCCTCTAGTGGCACAGCTTTAAGTCTGAGGGTTTATAACATTAAAAACTGGGTTTTAATAGTTTGCTGAAATGTTATTAATATTATTTATAAGTAGTACAAGATCGTTTAGAATGACTTTGTAATTTTTCATTTATTATATTATCTTCTTTCCAGATAGTTTTGCTGGCAAACACTGACAGTTTTGAAGTTTTGAAAAGATGGTCTTTTCATACCTTAGAAGTAACGAAGGTTTGTTTAACCAGTCGTGCTGTTTTCATTTCTTAAATCTTATCCGCTTAATGTTTACTAAAGATTAATAATAGCGATATAATGTATCTTTCAGAAACACTACTCACCTCTCTGCACCACAAACTCCTGCTCCTGCCACAAGCCTTGAACAATGCTACCACCCATACATGTCTGAACGTGTGTTGTGCCAGCCTACGATGTAATCACTGTTAGACTATAGCCCTCCACCAATAGGAGAGTGACATCGTTTATGTGGCGTAATCCCTGTAACTACTAGCATGTAAACCCAGGCCTTTTCATTCCTTGTCTTAAGTCCTTTTTTTTTTATGAGATTTACCAGAATGTTTGCACTTATTGTTTTAATTTTTCATTTATATTCATTGTGTGGTTTTCATATCTTAATATTCTTGATTACATGAAAGAACAATACTAAATTTTAAAACTATTAATTTAGAAATTTCCTCCGAGTTCTCTTCCAGTTGATTCTCTTTTACTCTACCATGTTGATTTGTCTGTCCTCATTGTTTAGTCCCACTGAATCGTCTTCACTTGATTCTACATGACCCTGGACGTCGCTATTTTCTCACCTCACCAAGACTTGTATTTGTTTGGAGTCCTCTATGGGTTGAAATCCAGTCCGTGTGCTTCTTCTGGTTACATACGAGGGTTTTCATATCTGTGGTGAGCATAGTACAGGTGGGGTGACACTTTGTGTTTAATGCCAACCATTCTACAACCACACCTTTCCACTGCCTGTTCTCTGGTGACATGCAATTCTGGACATCTGATCCATTTCTGACATCTGCTCCCCAGGGATGAGGTTTCTCTGTCTCTACATCCTTGAGCTAATGGCTACTTGTAGGCTTGTCCATCATCTTTTGTCTTGTTTGTCTGCTCTTCTTATTATGAGCCATTCAGACACCTCTGTTGTTTCTTTCTTCTCCTGACAGGGAAGCTCACACCCTCTGGACTTCTATTCTCCTGACTCTGGACTTTCTCTTTTTGATACATGACCACTACATTCACTTGTTGATTTATAATGTGTCAATAACTCAGACCTCAGTTGCAGATTGACTATCTCAGCTAAGCCTGGAGAGAGGGATTTCTCCATCCTCTGGTATTTTCAACAATACCACTATGGGCATCCTATTATCATTATCTCTCTCTCTACTACAGCTTCCACTCATTTGGTGCTCCAGATTAAGAGTTCTGACTGAGAATACTTTATGTCTAGTGTGGTTCAACACTAGACATAAAGTTTATTATTTACAACAGTTGCCATTGTACAATACATCATAAGGTCATAAAGACCCCGTGTATTCACTTTTTTATATAAAATACTGTTATATTACAAAAGCATGTATGTATTGGACATATTTCATTCCCTTTTACTTTACTGAACTGCCCTAAAGTTTGGGTGGGTGATTGAATGTTTTCTCCATTCTTCTTTTCTGTACAGTCATTCTGACCCAGATTGTTATCTCTGCCACCGGAGGTTATGTTTTTACGCTGTGTGTGTGTGTGTGTTTTTCAACAAGATTTCTAGAAAACGGCTGAATGGATTTGGATGAAAGTTGGTATGCATTTGGACTATGACCCAACTTAGATGTTATTATTTTTTGAAGGATCAAGGTCACAGAAATAAAAAAAATCCCTATCTGTTAACATGGGGACCACTGTTTCACACTATTTTTGCTCTATACATCAGTCAAAAATTATCAGATTTTCATGAAACTTGGTGGACTTATGTAGAATATTATTCTTCATTGTCCTGCCAAAATTGTCCATATCTGTTGATAACAAAGGACTTACAGACACATTTTCTAATTTTTTTAAAAGCCGGGTAGCAGAGATATATACTATACTAAGTGCTCCTCTAATTTCCTTTTTTTTTTGGATGTTCTATTCATTATTATCTCACTCAGACTGCCCTCTTTTTTTTTTAGAGCAATTACCAATGTCTTTTTCTGGCTGTGGGAATCCTCTTCATCCAGTAACGTACCTCCTTCCATTTTGCCCAGTTATACACCCTGTCTAGCTAGTTCCTTTTTCTGTGGGTGGTGACACTTTTCTTATTTTTGTGTGTCCTGTCATCTTGTGGCTTCTCTTGCTTCTAGCCATCAACGTCGCCGTTACTCACCCGACAGGGAGGTTTTACTTTTATCTCCGTTTAGTCACAATTTTCCACTTTAAAAGTGGTTGTGATGGCAACCACCTTATTCAACATATATATATGTATTATGGAGATGATAGAACCCACCAAGTGGCCAGTATTGCCTCGCAGGGAATACTTACCAGAATCCACACTGAGCAGTGGGAGTACAGAAAGTATTAGACCCATATAGTCCTGCTCAGTGCCTGCTGTTGAGGTCTGGTTTTCCACAAGACCTCTTCAATGATGTCTATATATATATTTCTTTCAAGTTGTTCTGTACTCGACAAAAAATGATGACAGCATCAGGTGTATGCTTGCCTTACACCTGGCTTGAGCTTGTTTTCTTTAGTCATAGTAACCAATTGCACTATATGTTATTGTGGAACCTAAATCTAGATGATTGTGTTGGGTGACAAGGGTTCATGCACCTCTCTGGTATTCTCCCCCAATTTCTTCTAGTTGAGTATAGAAAAACCCTTGTTTTCCCAATTCCAAGCCATTGGGTAAGTCAGTATAGAGAGTTCCTCATCGGGTGGTGAAATCTTATTGGTATGAGAGTGAGTGGACACATCCCTCATTTGGGAAATAGGGCTAGTGTAGCACAGGGCACCCCACTTCATTAAGAACCAAGCCATTCCAAGTGGCTGTGTTCAGCTGGATGGGTTTTGGGTTTGCCTCAAGACACAGTTATAGGATACTTCTCTCTATTTTCGTGGTGAGTATTTCTCATAAGTAATTCTCTAATATGGAACAGCCTGACTTTTAACCCTAGCTGCACTGCACACTGATGCTCAGCTGTTCGACTGTGAGATAATGGAAGGCCGAGCAATCTGCCATTCCAGCTACTTTACCAACAAATTAGCACCTAGCAAAAGTTTATTAAGGTAATGTCTTTTGCTCTGTCACCACTATTGGCCAAAGAGTATTCCCTCTTGAGATGGAAACAGTGTCCAACTACACCCCCCGTCTCCCCTGCCTTGTGTACGTTACCCTCAATGGGCTTTCCCTCTCCTCTGCGGTTTTCGTAAAGGAGCCCATCTTTGTAATTTCTGTGAAATGACCTCTCTACTATCTTCAGTGTAGGATTCTACCTCTTTATGGTGCAGAAAGTTAAGATGTATTTCTGAAGTTAACATTTTCCTTCCCTAAAAATGTATTTCAGATAGATACGTACCTCTCTCTGCACCATCTTCCATTCTTCCTCCCTATTGTGCAGCATAGACGACGTGTCGGCTTCTTATTGGTGAGGGGGCTATGGTTTAATCATTGTCATTTGTAGTTGTGAGAAATTTCTTCAAGACTTTTGGCATGTGCAAGAATTTACACAGCAGTGCATGCAAGGGGATAGCTCTTTGTGGTGTAGAGAGGTGAGTATCTATCTGAAACACATTCTCAGGTAAGAAAAATATTAACTTTAATAAACATAATGAAATAAAAACTTTTTTTTTACATATTACTTTTCTTATTGCTAAAACTTTAAAAGGTTTTAACACTGAACATTGGTTGCTTCCTAGTTTTGTAAAATACGTTTTTTTTTTTTTAGTTTTTAAGTTTCCAGTACTGTTATACTATTTAGTGTATTGAATGTCGTTTCTTTTTATTTTGACATATTGTCTATTATTATACTTTTATTATGAAGATTGTTTTGCATTGCTAGATTAATATATGCGCTCAAGTCTTAATTAAATATTCTAAGCTGGCTAAACCTCATGAGATGTTACAACCGAAAGTATCATTAACATCGAAGGAACACAATTTATGAAACAATGCATTCTAATCTTTATAAATAGAAACATAATAAAAGTATATATTTAATTTGCTATGATGATTGCTAGGGTTGATTTTTAGTGTTACTCTAAGTACATAGCTTGCTGTGTTCGGAAGCTGTTGTTAATCATATTAAGTTTTGTATTAGTTTTATTACATTTATAGTTTTTACTATTTTGTTCATACCTGTTACTCGCTGAGATAGCGAATATATTTTCTTATTTTATAAAGCAGTTTGACTATATAATTCATTACAACAAGGGCAGTTATTAAAAATGTTGTTTTAACCACTGTAGGCGTTTCTGATACTTTCTGATGAAGAATCTTATTCACTGTATGATTGTTATCTGGTAATTGTGGAACTGTGTCATCTTTGTGTACCACCATAGGCTACTTACGATTTGCTTATGTTTTTCAAGTTCAGGCAGCACATGGGTTTCTGGCCTAAGTGTAAATATATCCACATGTACTGCCTGAACTTGGGCTTCTGGCCTAAGTGTAAATATATCCACATGTGCTGCCTGAACTTGGGCTTCTGGCCTAAGTGTAAATATATCCACATGTGCTGCCTGAACTTGGGCTTCTGGCCTAAGTGTAAATATATCCACATGTACTGCCTGAACTTAGGCTTCTGGCGTAAATGTTTAGTCTGTGTGTTGCATAAAGTGCCCTTAAAGTTTAAAATACCATAATATTTCATCATTTTCTTTACTCATTTTTACCTCTTGTAATAAGTGTTTTTAAAGAAAGATAATTAATTGTACTTTTGCTGATTTATCAAATGTTTGTAGCTTTTGATATAGATTACAAATATGGAGTGGGACAACGGTAAAAATTATTAGAAAAAAGCATTCTCCTAGTTATGCTGAACTACCTTTAAAGTGATATATTAGCCAAAGCATCATACAAATTATTCCTAAACCACTTAAGAGTTTATTAGCTGTATTTGGCAATGTCTGGTGGTTAGGGTACTCATCTCACAATATGAGGATCATGAGTTCGAATCCCATAACTGAACGTGCTTGCCCTTTCAGCCATTGGTGCATTATAATGTGGTGGTTGACTAGCTGCCTTTCCTCTAGTCTACCACTTCTAAATTAGGGAGGGCTAGTGCAGATAGCCCACAAGTGGCCTTGCGTAAACTTCCAGAAACAAAAAGAAACTGTTTATTAGGGAGGGCTAGTGCAGATAGCCCACAAGTGGCCTTGCGTGAAATTCCAGAAACAAAAAGAAACTGTTTATTAGGGAGGGCTAGTGCAGATAGCCCACAAGTGGCCTTGCAGGAAATTCCAGAAACAAAAAGAAACCGTTTCTAGTACCTGCATATCACTGATTAGCTCAATTAAGGGCAGTTGGTAGTGTGTGTTCATTATCAGACTAAACAGATTTGATCCACAGGCTAGAATACAATTTCTAGTCTGATATCAGTTCACCTGGAGAAAAAGCTCTAAAATAACTTATTTATTATGCAATGAATGTTTGTTTGTTTTTGTAATTGAACCAGGAAAATGAAAAGACAGCAGAATATATGTATATATATATAATCATTGGTAATTTTTTAATAGATATTTCGTAGTTACGGTTTATGCTTTTGATCTTTCTAAAACTAAACCATCAACAGCTGAAAAGATGCAAGCAGTGTTTCCGTTAATATGCTGACTTCTCTTTTTTTGATATAGCTTGTTTATGGTCATGTGATTCAACACGCTTTTAGTGCATCAAGAGACAAATCTGTGATAGTTTGGAGAATTGATCAAGATGGAAAAGGTCAAGTGTTTATTGGTCATCAGCTGGTGGTCACAGGTCTAACAGTCAGTCCAGGTAATAGGAATGTGTCTGTGAAGAATGTTTAAAGTGTGTTAATAATGAAAGGTTAGTGTCATTGTCAATGAGTAATGAAGTTTTTACTTTTATCAAATGGGTAGAGTGAATGGTAGTTTTGATAAAACTTGCATAAGTTTCAACTATAGATAACTTCCAGGGCATTTTATTTCATCTTACGATACGAGTTTTTTTTTTCCTGACTGAAAATTTTTTTTATATATATATGTGATTATGTCAGATATAAGTTAAAGTGGATATCTTTAACTTTTTTTTTGTCTGATATAGGTTTTCATCTTGTCTGGCCAAACTCTGATAAAAAAAATTGTCTCCTTGATAACAGTTTTGACAGTATTTTCTAAAGCCACTTTTGTTGTAAAGAGTATTTAATTTGGAACTTACCTTTCAATATTTTGAATAAGATGAAAGAGAAAGAAACGGAGATAATTCCATTTTAAATGTTTTACGAATATACATTTTAAAATTTCCCTTTTCACTAGAATTAATAGTAATTTTTTTGACTTGTACAAATATATAATTGAACAGAAATTGTTTATAATTATTTTTAATGTTGGTGTACTTTGGTGACAGATTTTCTTGTAGGCAGATTTTGTTGAATAAGACCGATGTCTGTAGGTTTACTTTCTTCTTGGAAATCTTCTCAAGAAGTCGATAAGCTTATCGACTTAATTTTTTTTACTTGTAGAAATATATAATTGAACAGAAATTGTTTATAATTATTTTTAAATATATATATATATAGAAATCATCACGCCTGAGATTGAAATAATTGTGATTTATGCAAAGTAGCCCTTCAAATAGTTTTCTTCACAAAAACTTGTCGATTTATTGTCTTGTCTGTAAAATAAAAGTGTTGAAACATTTATATAAATAACACTAGATGCTGATCACTTTCCTGCCATTTTAGACAACCAACTTCTGTGTACCGGTTCAAGAGACAACACTGTCCGGATATGGGATGTTTCTACTAGTCAATGTATTTGTTGCAACCAGTCCTCAAGAAACCTTGTAAGTTTCTGGACTTAGTTGTGCATATGTGATGATGTATAATGAGAGAATTTTCAGTTCGGTATCCTAGCAACAGTGTTTGAAGATTTTTTTCTCGATGGTTTCATTCCACTTTTATATTTGTGTTTAATATGATATTTCAGTCTTGACTTATATTTCAGGCCATGTTTCTGTGAAAGTGGACCTTTAGTAAAAAAAGAAACATGTTTCAATTGTTCCCACCTTTTATGGCCCAGCACAGCCAGGTGGTTAGGGCGCTTGACTCGCAATCTGAGAGTCACGGGTACGAATCCCCCATCCCTCCAAAAATGCTTGCCCATTCAGTCGTGGGGGCATTATAATATCGGTAAAAGAATAGCCCAAGAGTTGGCAGTAGATGGTGATGACTAGCTGCCTTTCATCTAGTCTTTCTCTGCTAAATTATGGATGGCTAGCACAGATAGCCCTCTAGTAGTTTGGCACACAATTAAAAAACAAACAAACCTATCCTTTATAACAATCTCTCAATATATTAATAAAGATGTGATCAATTTAATCATATCTATATTAGATTTCCAGTGCTGTAGAATCCTGAACATAGAGTGCAATACGTGACATTATTGTTTGTCACTATCAAGCTACCATTTCTGTGTTATCTATAAAGATTAGCAGTTTTTCTCTTTAGCACCGTTTTAGTGTTTTTTTATGCAAGATTTATGTGTTTCTTATTCATCTATACTTCCCACTTTAATGGCCTCTTGTATCAACCGAAAATCATCTTTACGATACAAGAGGCCATTAAAGTGGGAAAATCCGAAAATCATCTTTTTCATCTTTACTTCCCACTTTAATGACCACCTTTTATATCAACTGAAAATCACCTTTACTTCCCACATTAATGACCTCTTGTATCAACCGAAAACCATGCCTTACAAGATGTTTGTTCT